GCGCCCTGGAGCCGCCGGCGTCGGTCGCCGCGGCGGTTTCATCCCTGACCATCGCCGACGCGTTCGTCAGGGTCGGCGAGAGCCCCGCCCCGCCGCTCCCCGCGCTCCCTAGGAGGTTCATCTGCTCCTTCCCGGATTGCAGCGCCAGTTACAACAAGGCCTGGAAGTTAGACGCGCACCTGTGCAAGCACACGGGGGAGGTAAAGGTCCGAAGGCGGGGCCCGAGGGACTGGGCGTCAGGCCCGGGGACTGGTGACATGACCCGCCGGGTGGATCCGTGCGCGGGGGCGCTGGCCTGGCTTTGCCAGACGTGTTCAGCTTTGGCACGTGGGCCGCAGAAGCTAGTCAACACTGCCTTAGGTTAGGGAGGGAGCTGAGGAGGTAGACAAGACGTTCCAGCACCCAGGTATCCTTGCCGTGGGCTCCGGGGTTTGCAGAGCAAACTTTCCCCTCTTTCATCCTGAGTCTTGGCTAATCACCACCTCCCGGTCATCTGTAAAGACTGCACGACTCATTCCGTAGGCACCTGCCTTAAGCACTTCTCTCCCAGAACTTGTGTGGACGATAATCTACAAGTACTGGAGGTTTAGCAAGCAGCGTGCAGTCATTCTTTCAAAACAGTACCATCCTAGCCTTGGAGAGAGAGAGCAGTGAACAAAACAGGCAAGACTTCTGTAGTCACCGGCCTTATGCTTTAAGCAGGACGGACAGATAAAGGAGTAGGTAGGCGTGAGACACAGTAAGTCGAGGGCTGCCGGAGGGTGCTTAGGAAGGGCCTCTTGTCCTGACTGGGAAGGAAAGGATCCAGCCTTGCAGCCAGTTCAGGGGAAAACCGTGTGGGCCAAGAAAACTGCAGGGAGAGCCTGTGGTGCTGGGGGTGAGGGTGGGGAAGGCAGGCCAGTGTTATTGGGTGGGACCCTACAAGAGAAGCCGGAAGAACCAGGATCATTTGTAGGCCAGGGCACAGATGAGTTTGGAGTGTGGGTTTTACTTGGAGGGCAATGGGACTATTTTGGAGGAAAACAGCTGAAGGAAGTGGAGCTCATGGAGGTCAAGGAATCTGCCCAGTTTCCTAGTTTTTGGCAGAGCTTGGCTTTGCACTGACTCAGCTTTAGGCCCTTAATTTCTTAAGTTAGAGGCCTGCAGTCGCTGCCTTTGCTTCTAGCACCTACCGAACTTAGGGGCCACTCCGCTAATGACACCCATTCTCCTTACCATCTCCAGCATTTAGAGGCTGACCATTTCCTTCTTGGAACCTTCTCCTCCAGCCCTCTTCCTCCGACCCTTTTCACTGGCTTATCTTCTGCCTCTACTCTTCTCTTGACAGGCCTACCCAGTGACTGGGTTCACTCGTAACATTCATGATCCTTTGCCTCCTGATCTTCCTCTTACCCATCCTATTCCTCCTAATCTGAGCTGTACAACCAGTATGTCCAAATTAGACTTTACCTTTAAGACATGTGTCATATTTTGGCTATTGGGACCACCAGCTTCCTTCATACAGGAAAACTTGAAGTCATCTTTGTTGTCCCAAATCTCACACGTTAATATGACAAATATTGGTTGAGCCTAATCCATGACAGTTTTGCAAAGTTCTGTGGATCTGTTCCTTAGCACAGACACTGGGCTTGTCCAGAATTAGCCAAAACCTGCACATTCTTCTTCCCTAGCCTTGGATGGGTACACATGCTGTGGTGGAGATTTATGTACATAGGCCATGCTAATAGGCAAGTAATCTTAACAGAGGGTTGCAGTTAAAGCCAGGTGTCAGGCAGGTTAGGAACAGATTAACCAACTGTGAGGGCTGCCCGCTTATTGCATATGCTATTCATAGAGCAAGGTCTGCTGCAGTGACTTTGTTGAGAAGTGGTGACATTGATGTGTAACTTCATGCAGGACAACCTTGTCTGACTTGGTGTCGCAGCTGCTCAATACTTAGTGAAAACCGTCTGTGGAGACAGAGCCCATGGCCTTGCCTACTAGACATTTGAGGCCTTTAAATAATACTGGAGTTACTAATGTGGGCAGAATTGACACATTTTTTTTTTCTTTCCTTCCTGCTAGAGACCATTTGTTTGTGACTATGAAGGGTGTGGCAAAGCCTTCGTCAGGGACTACCACCTGAGCCGCCATGCCCTGCTTCACACTGGAGAAAAGCCTTTTGTGTAAGTAGAGAACTGGTTGAAGCTCTGAAATGGTTGTATGGTACATTGACCTGGTAAGAAAACTGACTGTTACCTCAAGACCAAGAGAATGTGAAGCTTCATTTGCATCTCCTGACATAAGAGGAGACGAGGTTTTAAATGTGTGGAGTGGAGTAGGGGTTTTGTGGGTAATTTGTGTTAATAACTTCAGGAACAAGTTAACCTGAAGTTCTCTTGCATTTGCATCCTCTCATCTCCTTTGAAGTGTCCACTAAATGGGAAATCAAACATGAAACACACCCAGTTTAGACCAGATGGAAAATGATTGCTTGGCAGGTTACTGACTCTCCAGTGTCAGGGGCTTTCTGAATTGATACGCTGCTGGGATAAGAGGTAGAAGCATGAAGAAGTCGAGCTTTTAAGAGTTCATCTTGTATTTCTTTGGGTTAAGCCTCTGCACCTCTATCATACCAGTTTTAAATTTTATTCTTGGAGTTGCTGTTTATTTATCTGAAAGGGTAAAGACACGGTTTTTCTTTTAAATCCATATTTCTTTAAGCAGTGGACCTCAGATTTAGGGTGCATCAGGATCACTTGGAGGCTCTTAAAACAGCTTGCTAAACCCCACCCCAGAGCGTCTCATTCAGTAGGTCTAGGGTGGGGCCTGAGAATTTGCATTTCTTGCAAGTTCCTGGGTGATACTGATGCTGCTGCTCAGGCAACCACACTGAGAACCATTACACATGTTCCAGGAAAACATTAAATTTTTCTTGGAAACAAAATAAAAAAATAAATCTAATAGCTGTTCAGAACTATATGTTAGAGGCTATATCAGGAAATAGCTATATGGCAGGTTTTGCAGATGTTAGGATTTAAGATCATAATTTTGTTCTATGAGACAGTTCCTGGAGCAGTAGTTTTCTAATGACCTGAGTTGATTTCTGTTACTTCTAAGCTGATGAATGCGAAGGGTCCCACATCTCACTAAGGTCCACACAGTCTGAAGAAAGTGAGCTGTTGACACAGGACAGCCTTCACTGTTGTGTTCCTTATGGAAGGCCATCTCCTCTCCCTCTGACAGCGCACCAGCCAGAGGGAACGAGGCAAAGTGCTGAGGACAGCAGATGTCTGTTTCAGTCCCTGTTCAAGCACACAGTGTCCTCAAAATCAATGACACTAAGTGAAGCTTATTATTTCAAAATATAGTTCAACTACACCAGCAAAGAGTAACTAAGGTGATTTGGAAAATAGGGCTGGAATATAGTCATTGTCCTAGAAGTTTCACTTTGGGGAACTTACTATACAAATACACTTGTTCCCGTGTTGAAGGCATGTACACGGTCATGTGCAGCATTATTAATAGTAGCAAAGCATTGGAATCAACCCATGTGCCCATCAGGAGGGTTAAAGTGTGTCACCATAGTGGAATACTATACAGCTAGAAAAATTAATGCAGACGATCTCTATGAAACTAGGGAAATCTCTAAGGCATATTAAGTGAAAAGCCAAGCAAATAAAGGGCTACCTTTTTGTGTATAAAAAGGGAGGGGAGTAGACAGGAAGAACCTATAGTTATATTTGCTTGTATATGTATAAGAAACGCTGAAAGTTACATAAAACTAAAAATGTCACTTGCCCTGGGAGTCCGTGGAGAATACTGGGTGGATAGGGGCAGGGGTGGAAGGAAACATTATGTATCCGGGTCCCACTGTTACATACAATGAAAGGAAAAAGTGGGTCTGGGTACAGATGCACAGGAAGAATGAGAAAAGGGAGGATTACTCCTGCTGGAACAATGTGGTATCTCCCAGCTTTCCCTCTAGCCCAGACCACTCTCTCGTTAGCTCTAGATCCCCATAGCCAGCTGCTGGCTAAACAGTGTTCTTTAGCTGTCTTTGAGGTTTCTTAAATTCACTAAGTCCATTCTGAGCTTGGCTTTCTCCTTGGCCTTCTCCTCCCTTGTTCTTGTTAGGTGGCATCACTGTCTATCCAGTGATTCACAGGAAAGATAAGGCAACTCCTCTGGACGCCTCGTTCTGCTCTCCTCTCCAGCACATAGGTCCTCAGGCCCTGTTCCCGATCCCTCACGTCCCTCTCTCCTGCTCCAGCTGCCACTATCTTATTTCAGGCCCTACTCCTCACTGGCATCACTGGCCCCCTCCCACATCAGCCTTCAGATTGCTTTCCTTCTTAAAATAGTGCAGTGGTTTTTAAGAACTGCCTACATAATGAAGTCCAGGTTCTTAGTATGTTATACAAATGGCCTTTGTGATTTGGCCATTTTGGGCTTATCTTGACTCATTTGCTTGAGTTTCAGACATGAAATTATGATCCAGCTATGCTTCACTGACCAGCAGCCTCCTCCTGTTTACCCTGCTAATGTCAGTGCCTTCAGTGGCCCTGTGCCTGCTATTTGGCTCTGGTCAGAACTTTTCCTGGCCCTATCCTGCCCCACACCTGTGTTAGGTTAGATGCCTGGGTCAGGCTTAAAGTCAAGAATGACAGAAAACCCAGCACTATAGAGGCTTAAACAAAACAGTCTCTTTTTCTCTTGCATAACTGAAACGCACAGTAAACAGTCCTTGGATGATCTGTAATCTTCGGGATCTGAGCCCCATCTAACTCTCCGCCATCCTCATCTTGGGGCTTCAGCGTCATGGTCCAAGATACCTGTTGGAGCTCCAGCTGTCACATAAACATTGCAGCCACCAGGATGGAGGAAGGGGCAGAAGAGGTGTGCCCCCTTTTTAGACACTTTGTGGGAGTTAAACAACATGGACCAGAATTTAGGCTGGTGCCACCCCTAATTGCAAGGGATGCTGGAAAACGCTCTCTTTATGTTGGCCATTTACTCAGCTGAACCTCAGCATTCTGTTCCTGAGGTCAAGAACACTTGTTGGAACTTTGAGTGGTTTCTGCCACAATGTGTGTTTCCAGTGGGCTTCTGGGCGGATCTCTCGTGGTCACTGCACAGTTAGTTAGTCCCTGTCCTTCTCCACCTGGCCTTGTGGATAGCTCAGTGCTTCATATGAATGTTATTCATTGTTTATCAGTGAATGATAGCTATGATTAGGGCTTATAAAGGAAGTCCTGCCTCATCCATCAGGCTGATGAAAATTCATCACAAACAGATCACATATTTTAAAAATAAAACTTCACAAAGAATTTAAGTAATTCAAGGCGAAGCTACAGAAATGCTCATTAAGAGAACTTGAGCAGCCTGGTGCTATGCCACAGGGCATAACGGTGTATAGTTCTGTGTTATCTCTGAACTACAAGCTGAAATCAGTTTTTTGTTTGGAGGCGGGAGCGGGGGAGTCTTTTTGGAAAGCCGGTTTCCAGTGACATTTTGAGCAAAATTTAGGTTATCACATTCTAGACTGAGAACAATTTGACTTAAACATCATTTAAGCCTAAACAGGGTCTAGGCCTTTGGAATTAGTGTTTTTCACCTCCCTCTGCCCAGTCTATAAAGGAGTGTGCTTAATTTCAGAAGCCCCACATAAAGTTCGTCTTGTTACACGATAATCACATCAAAACAGATAGGTCTACATGGTGTGGTTTACACTTTGGAATTTGTTAAAGACTATTTTATATGATACTTTGGAATAATTAGCTTTTATGAAATCTTAAAATTTTCTTCCCGTGGTTTGTTAATATTTGGGTTTGCAATTTCTCAGTTGTGCAGCTAGTGGCTGTGATCAAAAATTCAACACAAAATCAAACTTGAAGAAACATTTTGAACACAAACACGAAAATCAACAAAAACAATATGTGGTAAGTAAGAATGATATTCTATGCTTAAATTCTCTGAATATTTTTATGTTTATTGTCTGTTTCTAAAAATTCCATCAACCAAATTTTGTCTGTCAAATATCTGGATTTAGCCCGTACATGCTATCATAATAATTGCTTTATTTTGAAAGCAAACATTATTGTGCTAATTAAAGTATATTATTGGTAGATTACCCCAAATGAAAAAATGTCTGTCTTTAAAGTTTCTTGACAAAGAATTTTACCGTAACTAAATGGGTGAAAGTAGCAAGTTTATAATCTCCACAATATTTTTATCTTGAGTATTGTTATGAACTGTTCTTTTTTTCAAGACTAACAAACCTTTACTGAACAGTGCAGTTTTGAAGGTTGTAAGAAGACCTTTAGGAAACATCAGCAGCTAAAAACCCATCAGTGCCAGCACACCAATGAGCCACTGTTCAAGTAGGTACTCTACCGGGGGAAATCCACATCGGACATTTCAGGTGGGAATAAACTGAAATGTAAAGGTTGGGTACAAATGTTCTGAAACAGTTTATTAATATTTTTCTGTTACCATGTAGAGTGTACGCCCCTTTATATTTTGGGCTATGCCAAAAGTTCAATTTTGCTTTTTTCTCTAAAAGAAATATTTAATATGCTTCAGAATACTTTGTGAGATTAGTACAATTGTGGTTAAGCTTGAAGAGATTAATAAATGACTTATCTATTCAAGTAGAGCCTGTTCAAGAATATGACATGTCATTATGAAGACCCTAGCTATTCTTTTCCTAAAAAACAAAAGCAGTGTGGCTTAGCCTGCATTAGAGAGGGTTTCGTGGGGAAGAAGAAAGAGGGACAGGAAACGGTAGAATAGATGTGCCAAGGGCATTGAGGAATCCGCCTGCCTGCACAGATGGTCGCCCTTGAAGGGCATGGACTCTGGGCACTGCTGTGCTGGCAGAGCCTTCCTCCGCTCACAGGGCTGCCCGCTGCCTGGGGGCTGCTGCCGGCAGTGCTTGCAGGCCTGCTGCTGCTGGTGCTGCTGGTGGCAGTGACGCCACAATGGCATGTCCTTTTCATTGCTCACCCGCGGCTGTGAGGCTACGGCTGTGTTTTCACACCATTCCCATGCAGCACTGTTGGAAAAACTAGATAGAAACGATTTGGAATGGTTTAAATGTTGACCTAAGCCATCTTTTTTGTAACCATGAAAACACAGAGTATGTTTTCAGAAATATAAAGATATAAGTGTTTAATTTGAGCCCTAGCTGATTTGGCTTAGTGGATAAACCATCGACTTGCGGACTGAAGGGTCCTGGGTTCGATTCCGCTCAAGGGGAAATGCCCCGGTTGCAGGCTCGATCCCCAGTAAGGGGCGTGCAGGAGGCAGCCAATCAATGATTCTCATCATTGATGTTTCTAGCTCTCTCTTCCTTTCCCTTCCTCACTGAAATAAATAAAAAAACATATTTTTTAAGTGTTTAATTTGATCATATAAGCTAAAAAATGTAACATTTTTCTCTGTTTTGCTCCAAGTTTGGTCAGATAATTTGAATTTTAACTATGAGAGGGTCTCATTTATATGACTGGTTTGGTTGTGGGAAGAGGAGACTTTGGTTGGAGAAATAGGACAAAGTACTATTTACCCTAAGTGGAGTTCTCTATGAAAACGGACTGGCTGATGCTTGCTGTCTTGTTAACCCAGGTGCACCCATGAAGGCTGCGGGAAACACTTTGCTTCACCCAGCAGGCTGAAGAGACACGGGAAGGTCCATGAGGGTGCGTACGTGGTCCTTTACAGTATTCACTTTACTAACACACCAACCATAGCGTGTATGTGTGTAAGTCTTTGAGTACTTGCTGCTTTCTACTCTATTCCATGATCCCATTGAGCAACTTAGAACTAGGCGGGGCACCATTCTGCTTGTTCAGGTTTTATACTCTTGACCAGAGAGGTGCTGTGTGCTGTGTCCATTCTTCCACTCCGCTGTCACTGTTCAAAGTCCATATTGTATTGTTCAGAACAAGTGCCTGGTTGTGCTGTCTTGTGATAGGCAGGTGCTCCAGCCAAGGTGTTGCTTCTTCATAGTAGTTTTTAACCCCATCTACTTACTTCCTGTGTCACTCCTCTCCTAGGAGCGCTCAAAGGGTTTAGAAAATGGTTTGGAGTTTTCGGAGCAATCAGATTGGAACTTTTTTAAAAAAGACTTGATTAAACTACTTGACTCTATTATGTTTCCATATAGGATTTTTGGTATCTATATTCCAACTTCCCAAGCCCTAGACTTTATGGGATTTTTTTTTTTTTTAAACAAGAGAGTGATAGCCTCATTCTTTTGTTTCTGTTATTTAGTTGGGTAAAATTCAGGGTGGCTGTTACATTGACTGATTAATCCAATTCTAGTGCTTTACAAAATGTCAGTTTTTGTTCATAGTCTTTTTCTCTGGTTATTCTAGTTTATTTTCTTCCTTAGCTGTACCCTGCTTCTTTTTTGCCATATGAAACTTACAAGATGGTGAGACTAGAGGAAGCCGGGGTGGGCATATAACTGCTGAGATCTAGTGTTGGTGTTTTGCCAAGGACAAAGGACCACCTTTTTTTGCTGAGGAAAAGGAGAGGCTAGCATAAGGCAGGGAGGGTGGAGGGCCTAGGGGCCATGAGCCATGGGGGGGGCGGGGGGGGGACTAAAGCACCTGGGCGTCCATGTGCAGTAGAGTCCGCTTACTGAGAACATCAGGAAAGGGAAAGAAGTCTGCTAAGCTCATATCCTACATTAAGTACCCTAATGAAGTCAATGTCCTGCTAAGCTCATATGTCCATTCTTCCTTATGATAGTCTGCTAAGCTCATATCCTACATGAAGTACCCTGATATGCAACTGTTTGGTTTCACTGTAAAATACAACATCAGTTTTTACTGTCACCTCGTGAGACTAACAGAATACTATTGGGAGGTGGAAGAAACATTACATATACATGTAGGTTTCCTTTTTAATTTTGATTGATGTTTACACTGAATATTCATAAAAGGTAACACACCTATTTTTTTTTAATAGGCTATAAATGTCAAAAAGATTGTTCCTTTGTGGCAAAAACATGGACAGAGCTCCTGAAACATGTGAGAGAAACCCATAAAGGTAAGGCAGCCTGTCTGGTGTGGCTCAGCAGTTGAGCATCAGCCTATGCACCAGCAGATCACTGGTTCCATTCCTGGTAGGGCACATGCCCGGTTTCGAAGCAAGCTCAGCCCCCAGTAGGGGGCATGCAGGAGGCAGCCGATTGATGTTTCTCTCTTGTTGATGTTTCTATCTCTTTATCCCTCTTCCTTCCTCTCTTTAAAAATCAATAAAGGAAAAGAAAAAAAGGGGGGGCGGGCGGTAAGGTACACATGAATGGCTTGGTATAACTACCCCTTTAGAACTGATTTAGTGCTTTTAAAGAGAGAAATATTAAATATGCACTTAAAAATAATACATGTTTTGTGAGGAGCTATGCACTTCAGCTGTTTGACAAATGAGAATAGAGACCTATGGTCCCAGGTTTAGGAAGAGCTATTCTGGGTCTCTCTGAGCTACTCTGCATATGTAGCATTTTAAAGGCTATGGCAAGTAAAGAATCTGGGGAGGTACTGGTGTTCTGTGGGACAGTTTGGGAACAAATGCCCAGTGTGCTGAGGACAAGGAAGGAAACTAGTCTATTTAATTTTCTCCCTTTGCCCACAGCTACCTTGCTGAGACCCCTGCTCCTCGGCAAGAATGACTTTATGTAATATAAGAACTTGGGAGACTTGAGACAAATATTTAAGCAATAAAAACTGGAGTTAATTTCCTCTGAAATTTCTGACTTATGTAAAATCATAAGGTTTTAGGTATTGAATATGTTATATAATTGGATATTAATGTTTTCTATGTGATAATATCTGGGAAAATTGATTAAAATTTTTTGTTTACTTTGTCAGAGAAAATAATATGTGAAGTATGCCAGAAAACATTTAAACGCAAAGATTATCTGAAGCAACATATGAAAACACATAACCCAGAAAGGGATGTGTGTCGATGTCCAAGAGAAGGCTGTGGTAGAACCTACACAACTGTGTTCAATCTCCAGAGCCATATTCTCTCCTTTCATGAGGAAAGGCGTCCATTTGTGTGTAAACACGCTGGCTGCAGCAAAACTTTTGCCATGAAAGTAAGTGCTCACTCTCACAGGTGCAGTCCTTCCAGGGTGAGGCTTCTCTCCGGGTTCCTAGGAGCCCTGGGTTCCAGGATGGTGCCCCAGGGCCTGCAGTGGGAAGGCGGGTGAAGAGGCCTCCAAGACCTTCCATTCTTGCTTAACCAGAGTGGCTCTGAGCTAAAGTCTGCTGTACAGCCAGATCTGCCTATGCCAAGTGGTTCTCAAAGTGTGGCCCTGGCCTGGGAGTACTAACGTCACCTGGAAACTTGCAAAAAATGCCTATCCACATGCCCTACTCTAGACCTGCTGAATCAGAAACTTGGGGGTCAGAGGCCTAGGAATGCTTTTTAACAAACCCTCTAGGTCAGCAGTCGCCAACCGATGGTCCACAAACCACTGGTGGTCTGTGAGGTCCTAAAGGTTGGCGACTGCTGGTTTAAGGAAACCTTTGGAGCAGTGTTTGCCATCCGGTGGTCTGCGGACCACTGGTCGTCAGTGAGGTCTGAAAGGTTGGTGACCGCTGATCTAGAGGATTCTCATGTGGGCTGTATTTGAGAACCAGTGGCTGATGGTACCAAATGCTTATTTAAAAGAGTACGCTGGTATTTTAGGTATCCTTTTAGGCTGTTAACACCTAGGAGCCACCCTTTTAGACTACAGTCATGCAGGGATTGAGAAGGGAAATGAGGGACTATAGAACTTGGGAATCTATCTAGTGTACCTCTTGGTATGATTCTAGTAGGTTGGGAACATGACACTAAACGGAGGGGCCTGTGCCATTTTGCT